CAAAGTGAACCAAGTGCCGTAAGGACTCAAACCATGGATACTGAGCTGGAAAACAACAATGTCGAGCTTGGAGAACCACAAGAGAGAGAGCGTCAAAGGAAACCAAGGAGTTAGTTACTTGCAGCTCAAGACTCAAGCTGCTTCTTTCTTACCGGTTTTGCAAGGAACTAGAGATGCGACCTTGTTCACCATCAAAATCGTCCCAGGGAGGAGTGGAGCTTATACAGGCGTAAGAGCAGCCCAACAGTGGCCTCACGCACCTACAGGCCCAAGGTAAGCCTTTAGATTCGATTTCTAATAAGTTTCCTTTTTCTGTTTTGCAGGATTTCCTTCTTCTAGTCTTTTGTAGTTTTTTTAGAAAGTCCCAGCGTTTGTAGTTTTGAGTCTTGAAGTGTCTACTGTTTTTATGCTTTCCTTATTTGTAATTTTCCGCCTAAGAAGCCCTAAGCTGCAAAGCTATTTATAAAGCTCCTTCTCAGCTTGAACAGACACCTTTTGATGAAATAAAGACCTAGCATTTTCTTAAGAGAAAACGCAGCCGCCCTTGAACCCTTGTGTGCGAATCCTTGTGTTCTTGAGCGTTCCAGACTTATCACAACTTATTCCCATCAGTTGTGTGGCGTCATTCACTCGCCTGGTTACGAATTATCACTTCATCTCTACCGAATCTCTCAAGAGTGCTGTACGGCCCTTGTTGATTTTCCATCTCATCATCAACACTTTATCTCATCCACTGGTTGACAGGAGAAGCGTACGCTTCCCAGGCTTCCCCATCGTATCACCACTCGACTGTCTAGATCGAGCCCGTAGGTCGAGCCAGTCGTCCGCAGCATCCGTCCTCCCACTCGACCCTTCTAGTCGAGCTAGTAGATCGAGTCAGCCCGTCTGCATCGCCAAGCTTACTTTGTTTGTCACACTCGACCATTCTGGTCGAGTCAGTAGGTCGAGTCAGTCCACCTCCACAGCTCCACTCGACCGTCAGGTCGAGCTAGTTGGTCGAGTCAGTCCTTTCTGCTACTCTGAGCCTGTATCACAATTCCTTAAAGCACTATCATGTCATTGTAGTATTAAGGTGTCAATCTAATAGGGTGAGATGCTACCAATCAAGATGTGATCAGAAGTCACAGAGTCAAGCCAAGCATAAACAGGTTTTTGAATTTCTAACAATCCTAAGTGATCATGCGGAAAACCAAAAATCTAGCAAAAACCAGAAATATACTCGACCAACACTGGCTGTTTGCCAGGCATTGGGTGTGGTTGAGTATTTTGAAGAAGATTAGACAGAAAATGCAACAGCTATACTCGACTGCACAGTCTGTTACCAGACAGTGGGTGTGGTCGAGTATACAAGTAAAACAGACGGGAAATGCAAAAACTTTGCAACATGCAATAAGAACAAGCACATAATAGTAATGTAAGCAGAGAAATCAAATGGATGAGAAATTTCTAAGGATGGGATAATCGAGTAGCAAAATCTCCTTAGCCTATCAGGTGGTTAACATGCTTAACAAAGTATCTCTAGACAACAAGTTCAAAGACGTATCAAAGCAACACCGCAATAGAGACCCTCAAGCTAAGCTAGTTCCAGACTCAATCACCATTGACGAAACCTAACATAGCAGGGATTATGAATCAACAAGTTAAAGCCAAAACGCGCTCTGAAACTAACACCTTGGTACAGAGACACAAATCTCTGGAATTAGTGGTTCAGGAATTTCATCAAACACCTTGTGGGTGCGGAAATGCCTGGGCTCAAATTCCAGTTGATTAGAAACCAATTAGCATTAAGAACGACTAATCCAGAAGGGATCTACCAATCAGACTTAACCACCTAATAGATTAAGGAACCTAAACTACCCTAACCCATCCTTAAGAACCCTTATCACTACTCAATAAACATCATCAAGAACACAAACCCAGAAATCTCTAAAAACTTCATCACTTAAAGATCTCAACAAGATAAACAATTTTAAAGAAGGAATCAAATGCAAAAACTGAATAGATTCAGAATAATTTGGATTACAAATTTCTGGAAAAACTAATTTTTCAGCGCATTACAGCTTAATTCTCTGGGCAAAGAGAAACACCTATTTATAGTAAATACTAGGAAACCCTAAAACACAAGACGACAAAATTCTAAGGCGGTTTAAGGAGACCACTCAACCCATGCGATCGAGTAAAGGAGGTCGAGTAAAGCTGACACCTTTGTGAATTCTTGCTCTGGTCGAGATGCGGTCAAGTGTAGAGGTCGAGTGTCAGTCAGGTGATTGCTTCATCCTCTTCTCTTCCTTGTGCTCAAATTGTCTTGAGTGCGGATTTGAGAAGACTCTGATGCATGTGGTCAAGTATGGAGGTCGAGTGACTTAGGAGTGAGATGGCTGAGGGTACTCGACCAACTTGGTTGAGTACCCAGTCGAGTTATTGATTCAGTGTTGCAGCTGGCTTGGTCGAGTGAAACATGAGGCTTGGTCGAGTGTTTTGGAGATGACTTGGTCGAGTGTTCAGGAGATTTGGTCATGAATGTACTCAACCAACATGGTCTAGTGTCTTCTTGATTCCACCTTTCTTCTCCCAATGTGCTCTCCGAATGGCATCCTTCTATACGCGTACGTTCCATAGGGACAGGTGAAAGTCGTCTTCTCCTGGTCGTCCGGATGGATTGGTACCTGAAAGAAACCAGAATAACCATCTAAAAAACAGTAAAATTAATGGTTAGCTAACCTTTCAAGCATTTGATCAATAAAGGGTAAAGGAAAGTGGTCCTTTCTAGTCGCGGCATTTGATCAACAGTTTCATAATCTCCTTCTTCACGACATCTTTCAGGTTCGGGTTTAACCTCCTATGATGCTCGATCGAGTTCTTTGCTCCTTCTTCAAGGTGAATCCTGTGCATATAAAGGTCTGGGGATATACCTGGAATGTCTTCAAGGGAATATCCCAATGCTTTCCTATGCTTCCTCAGCTCGGAGAGGAGCATAGCGGTCTCCTTGCTATCTAAACCAGAGTTAATGATAATAGGATAAGTACAATTAGGGCCAAGAAAAGCGTACCTTAGCCCAACAGGGAGTTGCTTGAGCTCCACTTTCAGGGCTCTTAGCTCACTCCAAGGATCAGCTACAGCGGACGGTGTGTCCTTAGGAGGCGCGGGTTGGCTACTCTCCTTGTCTAGATCGAGATATGCTACGAGTCTCGTGTAACATTCGGTTGAATCAAGGATCTTCGCCGAGTTTTCCACGGACTCCATGAGACATAATCGTCCTTAGCTTCCATCAAAGCTATCTCCATAGGATCGTCGAGAATGATTTCTTCACATAGCTCGCTTGTGGCTTCCTCCACTTTATCAACAGAGAAGACTTGATTATGAGATGAGGCTTGCTTTAGCGTCTCATTCTTATCAAACTTCATCACAAAGTCGCCGAGATGAAGATCGATCTTTCCATTAGGAACATCGATAATGGCTCCTTCGGTAGAGAGGAAAGGGCGACCAAGGATCAATGGATCCTTAGGTTCCTTCTCAACCTCCAACACAACGAAATCTGTAGGGATTTGGCACTCTCCAATAGTGATCGGAATGTCTAGGAGAACTCCGATTGGACGACGTACAGATCGGTCCGCGAGGACTAATGAGATCTTCGTCGGCTTGAAAGAGTGGTATCCCAAGTGTTTAGCAGTCGATAGTGGCATCATATTGATACTTGATCCCAAATCGCATAGACAACGCTAAAAACTTCTTCACCAATGGTACATGACAACACAAAACTTCCCGGATCACCTCGTTTCTGTGGACTCCGGTTTTGTATTATCGCACTACAGTCTTGAGTAATCATCATTACTCCGTCTTCAAGGCTGATGTTGTTGGTCATTATACTCTTCATGTACTTCCTAAGAGTAGGAATCATGGCACAAGCTTCAACAAAAGGTAGTCTTACCGTTAATTGCCCGATTAGCTCTCTTAGCTTAGCTCGTTCTCTTTCCTTCTTTGAAGTCTTCGAGGCATTAGGGTAAGGCACCTTAGGTTGATAGACACGTTCAGGTCGTAAGGGAGGAGTAGTTATAATTCCCTCACGATTCAGCGGCTCGTCGCCTTCATCTCCTCCGGCGGTTGTGTGACCGGGCTGGTCAGTAGGGGCGCCACCTGTCAGGTGGCTCGTGACCGGTCTTGGTTGTAGGTGATATATCACGGATTTTACCTATTTTAGCCGTGATATATGTATTGATTTTAGAGTCTTTTTGTTGTTTTTAGTGTCTTTTTGAGTCTTTTCAGGTTTATACACGTTCGGGCCAATCCGGAGACAAAAATACGTGTAGGTGTCGATCGACACCACCCCTGGTGTCAGTCGACACCAAGATCTGACGGCAATTCAAAGACGCGTTTCTTTGAAGTTATGAAGATTTGCAGATTCGCCCCAGAACTTCTCCCTATTTTCAAAGAAGTCCCTGCACGTTTTTAAGAACATATAAATAGATTCTTAAGGTCATTGTTTAGACCTAAGCTTTATTTTACTTTGTTCTTGGGAGCTTGAACCCTTTGGAAGATAATTGGAGAGAGCTCCTCCAGAAAAGATCTTTCTTAACTCATCTCTTTTATTGAATTTCTTTATGCTTTCTATTCATAACATGTTGTTTGTTTCAATCTCCATGTCTGAGTAGTTTGCTTGTTAGGTTTAGGGATTCTCATTAGGGATTTAGATGAATTAGTAGATCGATAACCTGTTAGGATAATATCTTTAGAGTTCTTCATCTTTGATTGTTCTTCATCTTTGATTGTTCTTAATGCTAATTCTAGAGTAATTAACTAGAATTTGATAATTGGATAATAGGTAGATTCGAGAGGTCATCTATTACTGGAACTATCTTAGGTGGGCAGAAATTACTAGATTCATACGAGAGGTGGTCTAGGAATATCTGTGAACAAATCAAACTTGTTATTAATGCTAGTCTAATTCTAGGAGTTTACATTCGAAAGGTGGAACTTCCTGATATTAGGTTTAGTTAATCAATTCATACGAGAGGTGGTTGGCTATACATTAGTGATTTGAGTTATAGAACGGTTCGTTAATAATCCTAATTTTGCTAGATCTACTATTTATTTATCTTGAGAAATCCCTAAGTCTAACGTTTTCCAATCTGATTTACATCTCGATTGTAATTACTTGTTTTTTATTAATTTGCAATCTTTACTTGTTTAGCTTAATTCAAAACCTATTAGTCTATTGTGTGAACACGAGAGCTTTGTGGAATTCGACCCTAAAGTACTGCAATTGATCTCTTATTTCAGAGAGTAGTCTTAGGTCTTAATTTGACTCACATCAAATTTGGCGATGTTGCCGAAGTTCTCTTCACTTCACCATTAGATTAGGATTAGAATTTAGTCTAAGCTTTTGTTTTTTTTTTTTTTTATTTACTAACGCTTTCTCTTTTATTTTTCTTGTGTTTCAGGTGTTTGTCTAATCACAGAACCGGAAACAAGCAAAGAACATGAACGAGAGTAAGATTGCTGGGTTAATGGCTAAGCTTGACGCA